CCCCCCCCCCCCCCCCCTTGCCGCCCCCGGGAAAGGGGTCACGGCAGTTCGCGCCCCAGTGCGTGGAAAAATAAACATTCCCCACCGCCCCCCTGCCCGGCTGCCCGGCGGGCCCCGGTCGTGAGCGACCTGCACAACCCGGGGCGGAACAAAGAGGCACATGTATGCTCGAGTATCAGCATCGCCCGAGTCCAGGTGCCAATGTACGCACCCTCTATCGCGTGATCTTGTCGGACAAGGCGAAAACAACAACACTGGGTGCATCTCGCGCACCCGCGGTGCTTTTCCCTTCGGGCGCCTCCCTCGGGTCGGGGCGCTCGGGCGCTGGGGCGGCCCCCGGGCGCTGCCTGGGAATCCCCCCCTTGCACGATCCGGTCGCCGGGCCTGTCGCCTCCCCGCCGGCCTGCCGGCCCGGCCCGGCCCGGCCCGGCCCCTCCTGCCCCCTTTGGCTGGGTGTGGCCGAGGCTGAAGGCCCACCGGTGCGAGGTCCCAGGCGGCGGTGCCCCGTCTGCCACCGACCCTCGCCCCTGGCATCCCCCCCCCCCCCCCCCAGCCGCCTGCCCCCTCTTTCTGTCTTTTGCTCCCTCTGTCCTCGACGCGGCTCGACAACCCCGCCTCGCCTCGCCCTCCCCGCGCTCGCGCCATGTCCGGCAAAGTCCTCGACATCCATCTTGATCACATCGACAAGACCTTCCAGGCTGGTGTTCGTTGACTCTGCTGTGTGCTCATACCGCTGCCCTTCGTCAGCCACTGACCACCTTCCCGCCCGTTGGCCACTGTCTCGCCCCCCCCCCCCCCCCCCCCCCCTGAACTCCAGTCACCTTGCCCCCCCCCATGCCGCCCCCCCCCCCCCCCCCCCCCCGCCAACCCCTCTGCAGGAGTGTGTCTCCGGCACCATCCTCATCGATGGCCGGAAGCGGTCCTCCCACAATGGCATTACTCTGACTCTCAAGGGGACGGTGCTGATGAAGCACAGCTCCCGGAATACCGGGGCCTTTGAGGCTTTCTACAATTCGGTCCGGCCCATCGACCTGATCTTTCACACGCTGGAGCTGGCCCCAGCCGGCAAGCTGCCCTCCACCATCCTGGAGCTGCCTTTCTCCATCCCTCTGTTGCCGACAGCCGAGGAGTTCCCCTTGTACGAGACCTACCACGGGGTTTTCGTCAGCATCCAGTACAACATCCGTGTTGATGTCAAGGGCCGGTCCTTCATGTCGGGTGACCTGTCCGAGACCATCGAGTTCCTGCTGGAGAATCCGGTACGCCCTTTTGCCGCTTGCCGTGTCGGGGCCCATCCTGGCTCTTGCGTTTGCCGTCACCCCTCCCTGACCGAGCTGCCCTGCTTTTCGGGGCCGTGCGTGGGCTTCCGGCTGCCATCTCCGCTGTCTGCCTCAGCCGCGTAACATCTCTTTCAAGCCCACCCCGGTGGACATTCTGATCAGCTCGAGTGCCATCGACTCGGTCAAGAAGGTACGCCCACTGGCTCTGCCTGTTCCGTCCTGGCGGCCATGCACTGACCTGTTCCTCCTTTGGGACAACCCGCCCGCCCCCTGGCCCTCCACCTCCCCGATGCTACAATGACATCGATCCTTCCTTTCCACGCCCCCTTTCTCCCTACACACACACACACACACGCACACGCACGCACGCACCCAGGGGGCCAATGTCATCCCCAAGTTCAAGATCACCGGCAAGATTAATTCCACCCTCTGTCCCATCACTCGGCCCTTCTCCGGGGAGCTGGTGGTCGAGGAGATGGGCTCCAAGATCCGCACCATCGACCTGCAGCTGATCCGTGTGGAGACGTGCGGCTGTGCGGATGGCTTTTCGCGTGATGGTTCGTGCCTGTCTGCTGCCCTTTCTCCCCTCTCCCCCTCCCTAGCTGGGCAGGTCGTCCCTCGTTGTCGACTTTCCCCTCCCCGGGTCCTCTCGCAGTCACATTGCAACACACACACACACACACACACACACACACACACACATGGCCTGGTAGATGCCCGCGCTTACATGCCCGCACAATGACACCCACAGCCACCGAAATTCAGAATATCCAGATCTCCGAGGGCGACGTCCTGCGAAACTTCCCCATCCCCATCTACATGATCTTCCCGCGGCTGTTCACTTGCCCGACGGTGTCCTCGAAGAACTTCAAGATCGAGTTCGAGGTTCTGATCAATGTGCAGCTGGAGAACAACCATGTCATCGCCGAGCGCTTCCCGATCAAGCTCATTCGCCTTGATGAGAAGGAGTCCTTCTAGGTGCCGATCGGCTGACTTTCCATCGACCCCCCCCCCTCCCCACCGGAGGAGCGATGTCTGGTCCAGACACGCCCCGGGGAGGCAGGAAGGGCCCCCTGCCCCCTGGCCTCCTCTCATGCAAATACACACAGAGACATATTTGTGAAATACATGGAAAGGAAGGCAATTTGCAGAAGGAGGAGGGGAGAGCAAAAAAAGAAAGAAGGCAGGCTCATCCCGCTGCCTGCTTCAAGTTGGCGAGTGCTTCGATGATGGCGCGACGCCGGACCGTGGCTGAAAGCAAACCGGCGTCCCGATGGCCTCATCATCATACAGGTTGAAGTCGGCCGACCAAACGGCCTCCAACGGGGAGGGGGATCCCGCGTGGCCACTCGGCATTAGATCCGCAGCAGCCAGGCTGCCTGCCACTCGGGGCCGCTTGGTGGCAGGACCATCCCTCCCGAACTGCGAGGGGGGGATGCGAGGCGCAGGCGGTGTCAGTCAAGGGGAGGGGGGCAACGGCAAAGAAGCAGCGGGGAGGATCCCAAAGCGTGTCAAGAAGAAGCTCCATGTTTTTGTGTCTGTGTCGGGGTCTGCGTCTGCATCTGCGTCTGCGTCTGGGTGTGGCACGCACGTCGCACACAAGCAGCTTGGTGTCGGCCACAAGCGCTGCCATGCGCTCGACCAGGCCAGCCTGGCGAGCTCGATGCCACTGGCGGAATGCCTCGACGCTCAGGACATCGGCGCTGGGATGCTCAGCCCCGAGGGGCGCCTGGCCCATCGGCACGGCACGGTCGTCGGTGATGGAGATCCAACGCCACCCGGAGCGCGAGGCAGTCAGCCGCTCAAAGTCCTCCTCCAGGAGAATCGCCGGGCTCGAGTCATCCGGCCGTCGGGCCAGGAGCAGCTCCGGCCGCGCGGAGGGGCTTGCCGGTTCGTGGAAAAGAGGCACCAGGCAGCTGACCAAGACGCCGCTCGATCGATCGGCCAGAACCAGGGGCAGCGCCCGTGGCTGAAATCGGCTCCCCGACGGGACGACTGCCAGGGGAAAAGGAGCAAACACAAGGGGGGGGGAATGAGAAAAAGGCGGCTCGGGACAGGGCGCGCAAGCAGGGGCGCAAGGAGGGCCATTCGTACGGAGAGGGACTTCCCGACAGGGCCACGCGCCAGCCGGCGGCAGAACCACGGCCAGCAGGGGGCTCGGGGGATCCACCGGGGTCACACTCAGCCCAATGAAGCCCCCGGTGAGGGTGGTCAGGGTGATTTCCGAGGGGGGATTCTCGGCCTGGGGCCAGGCCCGGGAGGGCTCTTGGGCCAGTGGGCGGGCGATGGCCGCTAGGTGGGCCAGGTCCAGCAGTCGTGGTGCTGTGGCGGCCGGCCGGCCATCCGCGGGCAGATGCCACACAAGTGCCACCCGGCGGGCGGTCGACAGCAGGGCCAGAAGCCGGTCGCCGGAGCTGGTGCGGGGATCAGGGGGGCCTGTCGCGAGGCGGAACCCGGCCCGGTCCGGCAGCCCGCCCTGGCAGGGGGCGACCGTGTCCGCATCGAGGCCCAGCCGTGTGGCAAGCCCCGGCGGCCAGATCGCCCGGGCTGTGTCGCCACTGACCAGGGCCCCGAGCCAGGTGGCGCGGCCTGCATCCGGGCTGCCGGGCCCCTCCCGGCCCAAGTGGACCCCCTGCAGCAGGACATCGAGTCCAGAGGGGGGCCCTGACGGGGGAAGGAGCAGGCTCAGAACTCGCACCTGCTGGAGGGCGGGCTCCAGCCAGGCCCCGACTGGCAGGGGGGTGCGAGGGCCTCTTTGCCAGGCAGGATCCGGCCATGCCAGACGGGCAGCACCACTCGGCGTGACTGGATCCCCGGACCCGGAGCATGCGCATGTCGCGGTGGCCGTCCCCATGTCGGCCAGCAAATCAAACACCAGGAGGCTCCCGTGCGGGACGCACCACATCACCGCACGCGGCCCGGCGACAAGGCTGAGCAGCCGCAAATCATGCGGCCCCTGGTCAGGCATGCCCGGAGATGCGGCCCCACAACAGGAGGACCCGAGGGCCCGCTCCAGCAGGACCCCATGTCGCCAAGTTTCCGGATCGGGCCCAGTGGCCATCAGAAAGAAGTGGCCTCGTTGTTGGCGGCTCGCCCACGCAGCCACAAGCACCGGCTCGCCAGCCAAGCCGTCCGAGAGAAGGGCATGCCGGGCAAGGCTCCACTCATGGGAGAGGACCCTCGGGCACAGGGGCCTAGAGGCTGGGAGATCGCCAGGCCCGGTTGCCTCGGGGATGATTTGCAAGCGCCAGGGCGCGGGATCGCCGGGAACCGGGGGGGGCCGCTCCAGGGCCACCAGGGCCCCGGGTCCGGGCGAGAGAGGCAGCAAAATCATGGCCAAGCCCCCGGCGGTCGAGCGAAGCCAAATGTGCCAAGGCGTAGCAGGATCGGTGCGCACTCTCGAGTCGGTGAATCCAACAAGAAGGGGAAGGAAGGAGGAGGGAGCGAGGGAGGGGGAGCGAGGGAGGGGAGGGGGAGCGAGGGGGGAGCGAGGGGGGAGCGAGGGGGAGGGCCGCGGGCGGGGAAGGCTGGGACTCCTCCTGCCCGCCGGAGGGGCAGATCAGCCCGTGGCGCCCTCTCATCAAGCCAGCGCAGATCCGTTGGCACGCGAGCCCCGATACCGGGCCGATCGGGCCGCATCCTGCCGACGGGCGTTTCCTTGCTGTTTGATTTCCTCCTCCCCCACCCGGCGCACGCCATCAACGCGGTGTGACAGATGCCATGTCGTTTGAGAGTCAGGCCGGGGCCGGGGCCGGGGCCGGGGCTGGGGCCGGGGCCGGGCCGGGGGGGGGGGCGGAGACATCAGGGGGTGGCGCCCGCATTCGTCGGTCCTCCCGCCAGCGGGAAGGACCCGATAGATGGAGAGCCTATTTAAATTCCAGATTTCCCGGCCGCGGGAAGAGAGATCTTGGGGCGGGCCATGGGAGCGGAGACCCCTTTTTTAGGGCCGGCTGACCGGGGGGGGGGGGGCAAGCGAGCCGGCAGGTTCGAGTCACCCGGGACCCATTTAAGAGGCACCCCCACTCGCGCGCAGAAATGGAAGAGAAGGACCGAGAGGAAGACACCGATCGGGGGCCCGTATTTTCCTCTTTGGGTGATGGTCTGTCCTCGGGCTCTCCACCCGGCAGCTAGCGGCGTCCCCTGGGAGTCGTGTGTGTGTGTGTGTGTGTGCATGGGGGGAGGGGAAACAGGGCGGGGAGTTCTCTTCCGCCTGAGTGAGCGGCCACCAGGTGTCACCTACGGGCGCCACTGCGCCAGCGGGACCCCGGGGCTCCGGCTTGGTCGGGCCCCGGCCGGCGAAGCACCCCCCTGGTAGGCTTTCCGCCCTTTTTGGCCTCCCTCTCTCGCTGCCTCCGAGGGCGCCGGAGGTCCGTCTAGACTTTCTCGCCCCCTTTGTCTCTTCTGCCCTCTTTTCACCCCACCCCGCTCTCCCATCCATTGTATTCTTCCCTCTCCCCCTCTCTCCCCCCTCCCCCTC